AGTTGCCGCTGTGGTAATGAGTTCTCTATCAACATTGCACAAAAGCATTGCAGAATCCCCTACTGAAAAGGGAAGCGACAATGAATTGTTCTAGTAACTTGGCTGAGGGGAGCTGTGCTTTCAGTTCTTCTGAACACCAGTAAAGCATTCGTCGACTGCGGTTTAAGTTGTATGAAATTGGCATTTCCGCTAAAAGTATTGGCACTGATGTTCTGCTGCTTGTATTCTCATGAGAAGGTGGTTTGAAATTTTCCAGTCAAGAGTTCACCCCCCACTTCGAGGATTGTGAAAGTCTGCATCTTCTTCGTGGCAACTGTCTTCAATTATCTGCAGACTCCAAAAGAAAAAGCTGAGCAACATTTTTGAGGCACTCCTCCTAAAACGCAAGCTGCACACATACTTTCAGGAGAACACATTACCAAACACTAATGCATTAAAAATCTGTCCCTGCGTAGTGACTACGAACACTAGAACCCTCATAAATACAACTGAGGCCTTTAGAAAATTAGAGAAGAGACTGATGGGCAGTATCTGCCAATCTACTGGCACGTCTTCCTTGAATGCCAAACAGTTCTGTAGAAAACGCATCCCACAGAATGCTCTGTAATACAGGAATCAACAACGCCCTGGCAGGGAAGATGACACGAAATGGGCAAGCGACTCTGCGTTGCAGTTTAATAACTTTGTGTTGGTGACGGCATTTAAGCGCCACCCTCATCTGTGACTCTCTGCATCTTGAATGTCCCTCTCGAGGACAACTGACCGGCAGAGTCACACACCCACTTCCTGCTTCTCACTGTCCTTTGCACGCAAAGGGCCACTCTTCTTTTTTTGAGACGACAAAGATCAAACTGGGTTCAAGGAACAGCAAGATAGTAAATCAGATTCCTTCTTCAGAGGAAACACGAAGTGAGGGTGTCCCTCGGAGGAGAGAGAGGACGCAAGGGAGCAGGAAGTAGTTACTTAAGAGGTGCATCCTTTTTAACCTTGCAATAACGAAGCTTAATTATCTAAACAAACGCAGAGTGTTTCTTACCTACATAGATGTTCCAGAATTCCTCCTACAGGTAGGTGTGGGAAAAAGGGAATAAAAGGTGACAAAAAGAGTTAGATGAGAATTACTGAATTCATCAGAAGAATACTAGAGCTTTCATACAGAGGATACTTGCAGCTACCAATTCTTTAACGAAATATTTAAGTTACTTGCACATATAGTGCCTTGCAGCCTGTTATTACTGTTTAATAAATTAAAGCCATAGGATCCATCTATAGTGCCCAGCTCTACAGAAACAAGTCTCATGGGTTTTTCAGAAAAATCTGAAACTCCTTACAGAGTTCCCAATGTGACTTGCTTAGCATAAGGCACTTGATTTCTTGTATAACTGTATCTTTCTATCAGTTTTGTCTGAATTTATTTACACTCTTGTAATGCCAGATTCTCAGTCTCCTTCCCCCTGCTGTACACCCATCAATCAGGACCTCAGAAATCCTGAGATTTAAAAACGTTTTGTCCCGTTTGTGGTGTTCTTTCCCTCTGCACTGAGGACTCCAGGTATGGTGTCTGTCCAAGACAGTCCTTTTCAATGACATCTGGCCACCAGGCAGAACAGGCTGTGCGGGTTCTGGAATGGATCACCCAGCCCTTACGCTCTGAAGTACCCTGGTGATGTACCCATGACTCCCCCACCCAAGTCATCTCAGGGCCACTCCCAAGAGCATTCTGGGCATCAAGTAATGCTGAAACGAAATGAACCTGGCCTTGATTTCAGTTCCAGGGCTGTTCTTAACAGCCACATAGCTACAGTTGACATTCCCAATCCCCCTCCACCACCAAGTCACTTCAAGTCTTCAAAAATCTCCTGACCCCAGTCCCCACAGTTGCCCCATCTCTTTAATTCTCCCTTGAGCTTGGGAACAGATGGCATTTCTGTCTAAAGTTAAGGAGCCATCAGGGTAGAGACGGTGACACAAGAGTCACACAAGCAAACTTCACTCCATGTGGGCAATTTAACACTAAGGCACATCAGAACTGTCTACAGTATACATTCTGTCAATTCAGATACTGAAAAAGAGAGCCACAAAATGATTAATCACGGCAAAGCTGCTTAAGTTCTTCAAAATTCTCCCATGAAGTTCCATGTCAGCATTTGCCTTCTCAACCTTCCCGTGGACTCTCTGCCCAAGAACTCTCGACCATAGTCACGACACTCAGCTATGCCACCCGGATAGGGTGAACATTTTTCTAACATGGGTAGTATCAAATCATCTAAAGGTCAAATACCTCACAATGGCAATTGAACAGATCAGAACAGGTAAAAGAATGGAGGCTTTAACAGGAGCTGGCCTTGCAAGAGTTAAATTAAGACTGTTATTATATGTTTATGCCTTAGCAAATCCAAACACAGTCAAAACCACTACTTATTCTTTGTGTTAAGTGACTCGGAGTAACTTGTGAGTTTTGATGCCCAGCTCAAAAGACCTTAATGCTATTTTGTAAACATGAACTACATAGATCTACATTTCACATTAGTTCACCCTTACAGTTTTCTCCTGGTCTTCAAAGGCTTCTCTTGCTTCTTCTTTCGAGCAGCGCTCCTCATTGCATTCTCTTTCAATATTCCCTTTCTTCAATTCCTCCAGAAAAGAGTTAGCACGTTTTGTTCTTTCCAAGAACTTGTCGGCATTTTCTTTCTTGATGAATACTGGGCAACAGAGAAAATGACACAGGTGGCAGGTAACACTCAGTGGTGGTAAAGAGTCGTTGGAATTAAGTGAAGCAGAAACAAAACCAAAACAGACCCTGTCACCACTCTGCCCGTACACCACATTACCTGTGAGGTTAGTCCTCACATAGACTGATACATCTCAGCATCTCTCACAGCAGTCTCTCTCTGAGCATTAGCAACTCCAGGACAAAAGGAAGACCCCCAAAATTCTCCCCTACCTTTTTTAATATTGCAAATAAGAACATGCAGGTTGCCGCTGAGGGCTTGTACTTCTGTTGCTCCTGCTCAAGACTCCAGCCCTGAACAGAATGACTTCCCCTGATGGCCAGGGAGACAGCATTCCTTGATTCGGTTCTAAAGCTGACAACCAGGCACCGCCACCAGCTGCTCCAGGGGCTTGCAGCGCAGAAACTAAACGCCGCACGAACTCAAGATGCAGTAACGTATCTACTGACAGCGGGAAAAGCTGTTTCACAGTCCAGCCCACGCGCAAGTTCTGCTGCCCTTCACCACTCCAAACCCCACTGCACAGCCCTGGGGGAAGTCTTCGTTCCCTCTTAACACCACTTCCCAATTGCCTGTAGAAATGTTCCTGCCTTACTGATCTGTGTGCAGGTAGAGCTAAGGCAGCTGCATGCTAAGATCTGATGAGGAGCAGACGTAAATGAACACCAGCTTTAGCAGGAAAGTACAGCCTGAGGTCAGCTTCCTGGGCTGTTTTATTTTTCAAAGGCTTGGTGTCCCAGAAGACCTGCTGCCTTCAAGTTCAAGATGAAGGTAGCTGTTGATTTAAACCAAAGGCTAGGAGGCATTAAACTCAGCTCAGCCACTTGGATGCGTGAATAACAGTGACTTGTGCACATATTACCAGACAGGAAAAACAGAAACAATGCTGGAGTAAATAAATTGCCAATTACCCTGTAAAAAACATACACTCTAGGAAAGTTTGCAGAGTCTGGGAGCTGCCGTTCAATTATGTTCTGAATACCCGGAATTTAAAGAGAAAAAAGACTTTCCAACCACAGACCGGAGTGTGGAAGACAGTGCTGCAGAAGGGACATCAAGGCCAACAGCTGACGTACCTTCTGGAGCATTCTTCATGCAGCTCAACTCAGCAATAAATAAACTGGCTGATAGTAATCGTCTACCCTAACATCCTCGAAGCAAACACAGTGGGGACCTACTCTGCTTTCACTGAAACTGGTGTATGAGCAACAGGGAGCCAAAATCTGCTACTGCTGTTTACATTGATCGATCCCACAGAGCCCACGAGTACTTTGGAGCCCCGCTTATTCCGAAAGGCTCCTCGCAAGGAAGGCTTACAGAAAGTGCTTGTAACTCCTAGGTCAGCAACTGTTCGTTCATTCACCCGCTGTCTTATTTGCCCTTAAACCCCTCTCTGCAGTGACAGGAAAGCGACAGGACGCAGCCGGCGGGGGCATCGCCTCCGTATTCCTCTACCTCCACATCGCCCACGCCAGAGGATGTTTTTGTAAACTTGAACCAGCCGCTCAGCCTTCGGAGGCTGCTCGCTCTCCTTCCCGAGCTTCCCGCCACGCTTCCTTCGGAGGCATCAAGGAGCAACAGGCGCTGGTCAGCCGAAGCGGGACCTTCCAGAAACGCGCGGAAGGCCTCCCCGTGAAGCCCAAGCGGGCCGACTGACGGAGGGAAGAGCTGGTGACTTCGGAGAAGCCTCGTGCTGACGCTGCGCTGGACCCCGGTGCTGACCTAGGGGCTCAAGCAGTGGGATGGGACCCCCCCCCCTGTGCC